CACGTCTAAGGCTGTGGTGTCCCACCGTGAGTAATTACAGCAATCACAGAAGTTCAACAATTAGCTGTCACAGCCAGATGGGGATCCAGGCGGCCAATGCTCGTCTTTCAGTGAGATCATGTGAGTAGAGGAAGACCCTGGTTACAACTCACAGACTGATGATGACTTCCCAACCTGGTCGAGTGAGTCACTTACTCACAAACTCCTCCGTTCTTCCTGGCATGATAAGTGTGGTCTGGCCGCCTGTGTGTGCTCGAGTAGTAGCATACAACCCCATCGGTGCATGCTCTATTACATACATTTCTGCGTCAGGGCTGATTTCACTGCAATCTGTTTGTTTGGCCATGTTGTGTCTCAGTGAGAAACCAGACCCGAGGCATCCATCACAGGCAAGAGAGGAAACAGAGCAGATCAAGCCACGCTGTCCATCCGTCAGGCTGGATTGAGCAGAAGTGGGGATTGTGTGCTGCATATTAGAGAAAAGTAGATGACGTTGGGAGACTTCTGCTGTGTGGTTACAGAGGCTCACTGTTTATTTAAAGAGCTGGAGGTAGAGCTACAGCCACAGTAATGAGAACCAAACCACCATGTTTGTTACAGATGTGGTTAGGTGTCGGCTGGGGTCTGACCACTGATGGATGTGAAAGAGACTGAACTAAGAGGAGGTAGTTACTGTTTCCTGGAGTCACCTGGCAAATTTTTTTAACTAAGTCATGATTTCCTGGTTTGTCTCTTTATTAATGTCTCACTTTGCTGTCTGTTTCATTCAAATCCCCCATTGCTTTCTTGGCATTTTTTGGCTGAGATGAGAAACATCGGATGAAGGTTTATTTACTCTCTTCCACTTACAGAGGAAGTCTCTGGTCAGTGTGTGTGTGTGTGAAGTTTTAAGACGTTTATGACACTGCAGGCGCTCTGAAAGACTGTACTTAATAACTGAGGACACGGAGGGCAATAAATCCTGTCTGAGCTGAAGTCGAGCCCTTCACATCTCCTGCTGAAAGTGTCCGCAGAGTAAACACTCTGGTCAGCAGGATCTCCCACACTGTTGCTCTGCTGTCACTCAGCTGCTCACCACTCCCTTCGCCTGCTGTGGGAAACCATTCATTTTCACCATTATGTCTGATTTAGGAGCTGATAGCCGATGCAGAGCCAATTGTGGGCTGTAAGACTCCTCTTTTTCTTGTCAGTAAAGAGGAGGGAAATGTGTTATGGGAAGATTTGAATCAGTAGGTATTAACTGAAGTATTTAAATGGTGTGCAACTGTAAAACTTAAAGGGTGGGTTCAACCCCCAAAAATACAGTTTTGGTTTTATTTGTAGAGGTTTACTGTGATTTATGAGTGGTGTTCATACCATAATACTAAATATTTTAACCACAACATTTCTTCCAAGAAACAATTATTCTGGATCATCTTTAGAACACAGTCAACAATTTTCCTAGGGACTATTTTTTTAAAGCAATAGAGAGCTAGACGGTCAGATTGATACTGCTCTCAGGTCTGTGCAGTAAATATGGAGCTACCACTAGCAGCTGGCTAGCTAGCTTAGCACAAAGACAGCAGACAAGGGGAAATGGCTAACGGCCCTGTGTTTAATCCGTACAAAACTGAAATGTAAAAATGACAAGGTGTGGTTTTACAAACAACATACAGTGTGTTAATCAGTGATCTTTAGAGGTGCAGTAGACAGATTGTGTTACAGTTGGACAGAGCCAGGCTGCAGACATGAGAGTGGTATCAATTTTCTCATGTAACTTTCAGCAAGTTAGCTTGTAAGTGTCACATTAAAAATGTCAAACTATTCCTTTAATGGTTCTAAAGGCTGCACTTGACATGACGTTTGCATGGCTTTTTCTTTACTTTACTTTGTCCACTTACCAGCGTCTTCATTTCACCGATGTCCTTTGTCTTTGGCAAGTCTTTGACTGTCGATCCCACAGCTCCTCCCACTTCCAGTTGTTTTCCATCACCACTGCGAACCACAGCAGAAGAGCCTGCACCACACTCGTACTGCAGACAGAAGATGAGGAATAAGTGCAGTTTTGAAAGTTTGTGGGTAAAAAAAAAAATGTCTGACCTTTCAGTCTGAGTCTGCAAATGTACAAGACCAGGGAGGATAGTGCTTTCTTTTGGGCAGTTAAGTGCACTTTGACAGGGGAGCAAAGAGCAATCAGAGCCTCTCATACAGGCTGATGGTTAAAACTCTCCTTGTGTACACCACATTCCTGATTAGATGGAACAAATGCAGCCGAAACGAGCAACATGAGGGTGCACAGGTGTGTGGGAGTCGGCCAGCAATCACCATTACTGTTCAAACCCAATAGCAATCATTTCAGCATCGAGACAATTGCGTCTCGTAATCGAGGCCAGGCACAGACAGGACGGTGTCCAGCTGGCGAGAGAAGAGACCGAATGGGAGGGAGAGAGAGTGAATAGATGGGATTATGGGAACAAGCAACACACCTACGCATCTAGACAGACACACAAATACATAAACACAGCAGATACCCTTCAGCCATGCCTCCAAATGAAGGACGCATACACACGCACACGCACCAACATCCACTCCAGTGCTGCAGAGGAGCCTGGGAAGGCGGCCAGCAGTCTGATTACAGCCCTGACCTCTGAACCGGGCAGACATCCTCGCCCCAGAGGGGGTCAGACCCACCGGAGCTATAGTCTGACCCCAATGCAGCACCTCTTTGCTTGCCCTACACACACACACACACACATACATTCAGGTAGACAAAGGCATTCTGTTCGGGTCCAGAACTGCACCTCTGATTCTCAAGTTCTTTCCTGGTGTTGTGTTAAGAGGGAAAGAAAACAAGTGGGAGTATCGTTGTGTGATTTGTGAAAGCTGAGATTTACATCTGGACCTGACCGGGCCGTTGCAGGGGGAGAGAGAAGGTGATGTGGTGAAAATAGGAGGGGTCAAGTGGTCAGTAGGAGGATGAGGAAGGCAGCTGGTTTCTTGAAAATGCGTATAGGTGGTGTAAGAAGTACTCAGATCCTTTTACATAAATAAAAATAGCAATAGAACAATTTAAAAACACTCCAAGTAAAAGAGAAGTAAAATTATACAGGAACAAAATGTCACTGATACATCACATTATTAGATTCTTAATACTGATGCATCAATGTGAAAGTGGCATTTTACTGTTGTAGCTAGTCAAAAAATCACATTGATGCATCAGTATTAAGAATCTAATAATGTGATGTATCAGTGACATTTTGTTAAGAGGGAAAGAAAACAAGTGTTGGTGTATCTTCAAAGATAAAATGCAAGTATGTGACTTAAATGTCCACTGAAGTAACAAAAAATGGTGGCAGACAAAAGCATCAGGTCTGTGTGGAGCAATGAGGAGACTGTATGTTCCTCAAATGAATACATGAAACAAACAGTAGTGGATGCAAACAGACATTCATTTGCATTTTCAGGAAATTCTGTTAAAATCTGCACTACATTTAGATGGAAACCTGACTGCAGACACTTGAAATGTGACGAGGGGACAAGTCAAAAACATAAAACACTGGTTTAATCTTTAAAAATGTATTCTAAAAGCTTGTCATACTATCATCAAGTACAGAACCTGAGAAGCCAGAAATAGGATTGTGATTCTATAGATGTACACAGACATGCTACTGTAAAGCATCTGGCACAAAAAGGCTTCCGCGTCATGACATGTTTATGTGTTTTATGCTACAGTGTGTCATACCTGGAGGCTCTCAGCCAGCTGCCAGTAGTACTCCTTTACATTCAAGGCCGCAGTGATGTCAGGGCTGCCAAATTTAATAGCTGCCACCTCTCCTGTAGTCCATTCAGCTGGCTCCAGTAGACTCTCCACTGCCTGCTCATACATGCCACACATACAAACACACAAGAAGTGTGAAGTATATTCAGATCCTACACTCAGAGGTGAAATGTAACTTAATACATCTATTCAAGTACTGCACTTAAATTCAGCATTGAGTATTTCTATTTATACGTCTACTATACTACATTTCAGAAAGGAATATTGTTTTTACTCCACAACATTTTTTAGCAGCACCATGTGATCACTTTATTAAATATGATGCATTATTATTGATAAATCTAGTTTAAATTAGCTCCACCTGGACCAGCTACAACATTAGTGTTGCTTATAACAAATCAATAATACATAATTGAACACTGAAACGGGACATTACTCATAAATGGTTCTTTTACTTTCAATGCTTTAAGTACATTCTGCAGTTAATATTTAATTTAATGCAGGACTTGTAACAGAGTATTTTTTACAGCGTGGTAACGGTACTTTTAGGTAAAGCATCTGAATATGTTACAAGTATTATCAGCAAAATGTAATTATATTGTCAAAAGTAGAAGTACTTGTTATGCAGACAAATGTCCGCTGTGAGTCTAAGGCTATTTTATAATGTATTATTAGATTATTACTCATGAATTGATGTGTAAGTTGGTTGAGGTTGAGCTAATTTTATATAGTGTTGAGTGGTTTTATCCATCGTATCCATATTTTATTCGCTTATCTTTTTTTAATGTAAGCTTAACTTGTAAAGTAACTACAATATAAAATAAATGTGGTGGAATGAAAGTGTAATATTTGCCTCCTAAATTGTAGAAATATAAAGTGGCATTAAATGGAAAAACTCACATACAAACATACTAAGATTCAGTACTTGAAAAAACGTCCACCTCTGTGAATACAAACACACACAGTACATTTAGATGCATTCATACATACATCCAAGGTCTCTTCATGTATGTCTTCAGCTTCCAATATCTGTATATCTGTATATGTATGAATCTGTCATATGTCCCACATCCACTACAGAGAAAATGAACTGTTACAGAGCTGCAGTGGCAGTCTGACATCTTTCTCCTTTTCCGTCCACCTAAATAACGACATGGCTGCCGATTTGTCGGGGGAATATGGGGTATCTGCAAGTGCTGATAGTAACAACAGTTAATAAAACAAAGGGAACTTCTGTTTTCATTTGGTATTCAGCCGCATTTCCCAGACTGTGAGTTATCGAGCGTGTCCCAGAGGGAGTGTGTTAAACGCCGGGCAGCCCAGCTTTGCAGAGAAAAACACAGTGTGATGGAGTTGGTCCTGCTTCAGCTGGCTCTCCCTCTCTCTACCTCTCTACCTCTCTCTCTCTCTGCCTTCAGCCTCTAGATCTGATACTGGGGCGCGTCTGTCATCTCCTGGCGAGGTGGAGAATATTGTAGAAGGTGGAGAGAACAGGGTGTGTGTGGATGCAATATAGGTAATGATGTGCATTGGAAACGTGCCTGTTTTAAAGCAATAGTTTGACATTTTGGGGAAATGTGCTTATTTGCCTTTTTTCCAGGAGTTACATGAAGACTGACACCGCTCTCATATCCGTCACATGGGCAGGTGTTAAGACAGTTTTCACCTTCTCCCTAGACAGCCAATATACAAAATACTCAGACGTTAGCTATAAGCTAGCTGGCAACAGACACAATGACCATGTCAGTGTGAGTTTGTCTGTATGTTTGTATAAAAATCAGCTTCTGACTGATCATATGTGGCTTTATGGTGGTTACATGCTGGACTATTTCTTGGCCAGGAGCAGTGATTTCCTGGAGTTTGCCAAGATATAGTCCGACACATAACCCCCTGAAAGATTTCAACAAACAAGATATAGTCTTGATTAGTTTTTAAAGGTACGAGTGGGCAGATGTTTAAACCATTGAACAGAGCCAGGCTTTTTGTACTGTCTGTAAGCTAAGCTAACCAACAACTGGCTGTAGCTTCATATTTAACAGGCATGAGAGCGATGTTGCTCTTTTCATCTAACTCAGATAAGAAAGCAAATAAGGGTATTTCCCAAAAAGTCAATCTACCCCTTTAATAAACTGCAATAAGGACTCAAGTGAGCACAGAACATTAAACAAGGGCCTAAAATTGACAGTTCATTAGATTACATATTTTGTGTTTTAATCCTCTCCCCATATGTTTCTGTTGACAGGGCTGTTCTTGGCTCTTCAGCAAGGTGACTGGGGTCATCACAGCTGTGTTTGTCACCACAGGTCTGGGCATTTCTCCAACACTCCTGTCTGACCTAAGTGCTACATTTGGAGTCATTTTCATGGCTATAAACTCTTCCTGTCTCATCACACTGCAGCTAGATATCCTCTCCCCCCTCACCGTCTTTTGCTGGACATCCATGTTGGCCAGCTGCTCCTCGTAGATAGCCACTTGCTCCCTCAATGCCAAACACGCTGCTGTCACAGCATCCACGTCCTGCAAAGAAAATCAAGTTAACAGAGAACGAGGCTGAAAGTAAAGAAGTTCAACTTAATTTCTGGAGGATGTCTGAGAGCAATGCTGCAGTCTGGGAACTAAATCACACCACAGGTTGAAGAAAAAGTAGAAAGGGTCTTTGTTTCCACCCCAAGCAACCATTTTAAAAAACATCAGCACCAGCACATTCACCTGTTTCACTGAACAGCAAGTAGACACCGCAATGCAGAGGAAGAGGGAGGAGGAGGAGGAGGAGGAAGATCAGAAGGAGGCTAACTAGACACAAAAGCCCTGTCCACCAATCCATTCGCCAGCAGGGGCTCTCGGCTCGTCCACTCTTTTTAAAGAACCAGATTAATTGGTGTAGGGTGCAATTACTGTGGGTGCCTGCATTTACATTTGGAGGCATGCAGAGAGGGTTTGGTGGTGAAGTTGTGGAGCCTCGCTGAGAGGGTGGCAGGGACCTTGATGGACAACAGTAGGCAAAAGTAGTCTGGTCCTGCTGCTGTCTGTGTTCAAATACCAGCCAGAAGCTGGAGAGAAACTTGTTGAAATCACATTCTGTGTAACTTTAAAAAGGCACTTTAGTAAAAACAACACTGACAGATTAACGCCTTATAAAGTTGATCTAGTAAACACGCTGTAACAACTGCTTGTTTATAGCATCAATGAGAGCAACATTAGCATTCATTTTGAGTTGTGTTTCTGTCCACATTGTTTTTTAACGCCAATATTCACTCTCCTTTTAGCTCCGTTTTGTGAGAAATCTCCAACTCTTGAGCCGCTAACTTCACTCAGCTATTGGCTAACTTTGTCTGCCTGCCGTTTGGTGCTGGGCAGGTAGTGTGCAGCAGTAGCTTTTCCCCTCAAAATGGCAACAATGATGGGAGTGGTGAGACTGAGCCAAAACAATAAAGTTGTGGGTTGGAAAGCCAAAACAATGAACTGAAAGCAAACCACACAAAAAAAACTCTACAGAGCTGAGGGGGGACTGCAGATTTGGAAGATCACTATGACAAACCTCGCACATTACAGCGTCATTTAAGCTATTTTCGAAATAACTAGAATTACTGCCCCATGGTTGTATGTCTACACCAAAAGAGTATTTATTGGCTAAATGGAAATTATAACTATATTGAGGGTGCATATGTATGATTTTAGTGTATATATATTTATGAACTGATTACTGAAGGATTATCATAGATGTATGGGCTGAATAGGTACACATGTACTATGTAGTATAGTGATACAAAATGTGGTTCTTCTGGCATTTTTAGATGCAAAGCCTCTCTATGAGCTGTAGGTGAAACCATTTTACATTCTTCAGATCACACTCACCAACTGTGAGCCAATCTCACTCTGCACCCAGCAACCCCGGCGGCTGGAGAAGCAACTTTAAGAGTGGCACAGGAGAAAGTTGGCGGGAGACCAGGAGGATTATATAGAAACCAGTAAGCATCTCAAGAGCAAGGTGCCTCAACCCAAACATTATGTGATCCTTTAATGTGGCGAACATCCAAACAATATAATTGCAAAAGCAAGAACCATCACAACACAGGGGATGAAGAAAGATTATTGGATTATGATCCTTATAGACTATCAGGGGAACACTAGAATCGACATAAAAGTGTTGCAACGCCCACACGAGGGCAAGGGTCTCCACTCACTCACAGGATCATGACTAGCTCGCTGCGCTCTGATACGTTGTTTGGAGTCAAGTGATTCCGATGACGCTCGAAATTCAGAATGAGGCAGTAAGAGAAAGGCAGAATGGATGAAGAGGAAAGATGGAAGCCTTTTGACCCTTTCGATAAACATCATCACCTTATTGTGTCCCATTACATGTCTGTTTGAAGTTTTGTCATAGTTATCGCATCAATTCGCATCAAGTTATGACCAAAAGGTTTTGTGATCAGTGACCTTGAGGCATTAAATATCTCCTTGATAAGAATGGGATGTACGTACAGACGAACAACACGAAAACATAAAAATATTTAGCAGTGCAGCTTCAAACTGTAATCAAATCTGGAGTATTTTTCTACAACTTTACATATTCATGACCAACAATGCAAAAGTTTAGCTTTATTATTAATAATAAAAACTGAACAACTGAGCAACAACCCACCAACTGTCATCAGATTCT